GCCAAAACAAAAACCGAAAACTTTGACATCTACACACTACTACATATAAAATAGATAACTACTAAGGACCCTCTATAGCACAGGGAACTTTACCCAATGCTCTGTAATGGCCTATATGGGAAAAGACTCTAAAAAAGAGTGGATACAGGTATAAATGATTCACTTTGCTGTACACCTGAAATTAACACAACATTGTAATCAACTATACTCCAATAAAAAATTTTTAGGACTTCCCTGGTGGCGCAGTGGTTGAGAATCCACCTGCCAATGCAGAGGACACAGGTCCGATCCCTGGTCCGGGAAGATCCCACATTGCCGCGGAGCAGCTAAGCCCGTGCGCCACAACTACTGAAGCCCGTGGCACCGGGAGCCCGTGCTCTGCACCAAGAGAAGCCACCGCAGTGAGAAGCACGTGCACCAGAACTAGAGAAAGCCTGTGCGCAGCAACGAAGACCCAACGCAGCCCCCAAGAAATTTTTTTTCAATTTTTTTTTTTTTAATGATGAATGGGTAAACGAAATGTGGTCTGGCTGTACAGTGGAATATTACTCAACCAGAAAGAGGAATAACTGACACAGGCTACAACACGGGTGAACCTCAAAGACATTTTGCTGAGTGAAAGAAGCCACACACAAAAGGCCACAGATTGTGTGGGGATGAGCCAAAAAGTCCGTTCGCATTTGTCCATAACTTCTTATGGAAAAACCCAACCGAACTTTTTGGCCAACACGATATGACTCCATGCATAGGAGATGCCCAGAACAGGCAAATGCTTAGAGACAGAAAGTAGATGAGTGGTCGCCAGGGCCTGAGGGGAGAGGGGAGAGGGAGTTCTTGATTAACGGGGTACCAAGTTTCCGTTTGGGGTGATACAAACGTTTTGGAAATAGATGGCAGTGGTTGTGGCACGGTATTGAGAATGCAGTTAATGCCACTGAATTCTATACTTAAAAACCGTTAAATGATGAGTTTTATGTTACACACACACACCCACACACACACATATATATATATATATATATAAAATACCATAATTTTTTTAAAGATCCCTCTGGCTGCCAGTGGCAGGTGAGGGGAGGTGGGGGGAGCCTGGGCTGCAGGAGTGAGAAGGGCTGGAGGGCTGCTGGGAAGAGGTCAGGGCCGTTTGGTAGAGATGGTGATGCCCAGGTCTGGAGGGGGGCTGCCGTGGATGGACAGGTGGATGCTGGGGTGTTCTGGAGATGCAGACCCAGGACTTACTCCTGAACTGGCTGTGGGGGCGAGGGAAAGAGGAACCCAAGATTTTGACTCCTGGGGTTTTGGCCTAAGGACCTGGGAGGAGGGGGGGGGACCAGGCACTGAAATGGGGGACTGTGTCCAGTGTGGTCAGGCTCCAGATGCCTTGGAGACCCAGATGGAGGTGTAGACATGAGGAGAGAGGCGGGGCTGGGACGCAGATGTGGCAGTCGTCCCGGTACAGATGGTGTCTAAAGCCATGAGGCTGGTTGGATCCCTGAGGCGGGGTGTGGACGGGCAAGAGGCCTGGGGTCCTGGGGTCCCGGGCTGCAGCCCGGGAGGAGGAGAGGAGCCGCCTCCTTCAGATGGATCCTCCCCCGGCCCTGACTCTCGCTGTGCTGTGACGGCACCCTCTGATGGGTCCCTTGCCGGTCTACCGTGTGTGTAGACTGTTGTCCTTACCAGAACCCTGCAGATCCGAGGTTGCATGAGTGGGGAGGACCCGCTCAGGGTCATGGGGCATGACATGGCAGGGTCCAGACCCACATTGGCCCGCTGCCCCCAGAGCCTGGCATCCAGCAGCCTCCCCAGCATTAACCAGACGCTAACCAGTTTAACTCCCTAAGGGAGAGCCAGGGAGGAGCTGCTAACCAGTTTAACTCTCTAGGGGAGAGTCAGGGAGGGGAGCAGCCATCAGCCTAGGGTCAGTCCCCCACCCCCCGCATCTGACCATGGCTGGAAGATGGGGTGCAGGAGAAATGAAGTGGTGAAGAATGCGCCCCCCCAAACCATGTAAAATTGTAAAGTGCTAGGAAATGAACCAAAACCCATCAAAGGCCCCATCTGGACAGGGTTGCGGGATAAGAGACAGTTGTGGGCTGAGGAAGTAGAGGGGGCAGTTTCCTGAAGGCTGGGCACTGGGGAGGGTGCAGAGAGCTGCTGCGGGTCAGGGTCGGGGAACAGGGCTGCAGGGCTGCCCTGTGAAACTACCTTCCCGTTTCACATGAGACGAGACAGGCCTGGAGGGAGGGAGGTCCTGCCCCATGAGCGAGCTGCCTTAATCTTTCTTGAGAACCTGTGCCGAGTCCCTGGCCTCAAGTTGCCCATGGTCTCGTGGGGAAGGTAATTTATACAAGAATGTAATTTCAGGTGCCGTGAATTTAAAATGGGGCTAAGGAATTCCCTGGCGGTCCAGGGGTTAGGACTCCGTGCTTCCATTGCAGGGGGTAAGGATTCGATCCCTGGTTGGGGAACTAAGACCCTGCATGCTGCGCGGCGTGGCCAAGAAACAAACAAACAAGGATGGAGCTGAAGGATGGCAAGTGAGGGTGGCGGGAGCGGTTAGGGTGGTCAGGGTAGGTCACTCTTCTGGGGTGACCTTGAGGTTGAGCCCTGAATGGTGAGAAGCTCCAGCAGGCGTTTGGGGATGCTGGGAGAGCATTCCAAGCAGAGGAGCAGCCCAGGCAAGGGCTCGGGCTGGAAGGAAGCTGGAGCTTCTGGGAACGGGCAGTGGGTAGGCTAGAGAGCATGGTGTTGCTGGGTCACCAGCGGCCTCTAGGCCCTGATGAGGAACAGAGACCCCAGGGGAGGGCAGAGTGGGAGGTTAATACTTGGATTTACATCATTAAATGGTCCCTTAGCACTGAGTGGAGGGCGTGCGTGGAGGCAGGGAGGCTGGGAGGAGGAGGCCAGGGCAAGCGTCCAGATGCAGCAGGATGGTGGCTTGGTCCTGGTGGTGGCAATGAGGGCCAGAAGTGGGCAGGTCGGTGAGATGCTTTGGAGGCAGAGCCCGTGGGACTTGCTGATGGAGTTTATGAAGGGGAGGGGAGGAGAGGAGTCAGGAATTGAGGATTTCTAGGTTTGGGTTCTGAGATTCATTCAACAAACATTCATTGCTGTGTGTCAGGCCTGTTCTAGAAGCAGGAGCAAGACAAAGCAATTCAACGATGTCACTGCCCAGTGCAGGGGCCCTTCCATAAAAGGGAGAAATATTTACGTCTGAACGAAGGCCCAAAGGGGGTGAGGGAGCAGAGGAAGAGGCCATGTGAATAAAGGGTGGACAGAAGATACATGCAGAGGAAGTGACAAGTGCAAAGGCCCTGGGGCAGGAGCTGGTGTGGTTGAGGAATAGCAGGAGTGGCTGGAGCAGAGGTGGGGACAGGGAATTACCTGGACTGGCGGATAGGCTTTCATTTTGTGGCGGGGGGGAAACAGTAGTCGGGGTTCTTTTGAGAGATTCCAAACTGGAAATAAGGGATTTGGAAAGTATTGGCTGGTCGGTGGTGTTGAGCCCGTAGGACAGGCTGGGGTGACGGTGGGAGAGGACAGACCACACTGGAGGACCGGTTAAAACACAGGTGCTGGGGAATTCCTTGTCGGTCCAGCGGTTAAGACTCTGTACTTCCACTTCAGGGGGCACGGGTTCGATCCCTGTTTGGGGAACTAAGATCCCACGTGCTGCGCCGGTGCGGTCAAAAAGCGAACAAACAAGAAAGCATGGGGTGCTGACCCTCCTCAGAGAATGTGCATTTCTAGCAAGTTCCTGGCCAGGCTGGTGCCCCTGGGCTGGGGCCATATCAGAGAACCGGGGTGTAGATAAAGCAAAGGATTAAAAGTAAAGATCTGGGGCTCCCCTGGTGGCGCAGTGGTTGAGAGTCCGCCTGCCAATGCAGGGGACACGGGTTCGTGCCCCGGTCCGGGAGGATCCCACGTGCCGTGGAGCGGCTAGGCCCGTGAGCCACGGCCGCTGGGCCTGCGCATCCGGAGCCTGTGCTCTGCAGCGGGAGAGGCCACGGCAGTGAGAGGCCCGCGTACCGGGAAAAAAAAAAAAAAGTAAAGATCTGGGTGTCCAGTCTCGAGAGGATCCAGGGGAGATGGAGGCAGTGAGAAGAGGAGAGGCCATGAGGGAGAAGAAGTGGGTCAGAACCCGGCTCTGTGCCCTCAGAGCCACTGTGCCTGAGGATGGGCAGACGGGGTGGGGTTGGAGAGAATTGCGGGGGTCGCCACACAACTTTCACCCCCCCCCTTCACCCTCCCTGGCCCCCCAGGGGCTGCACCCACCCCTCACCCTGCCTGCTTGTCTCTAGCTTACCCTGAAGTTTCCCCCTGAGAGGAAAGAGGGGACTCAGTCATCCCTGGTCCCTGATCTGTGGCACCAGCCAGCTGGATTCTAATTAGCTACCAGAGCCAGAGAAACGGGAAGCAGGGGACCAGGGGTGGGGACCTGGATTCCTGCCCGAGACCCAGAGGCCGCAAGCTACGGCCAAGACGCCTGGGTCCCCCACCCTGGACGCTGTGGTGGGTGAGAAAGCTGGGGTGGGGGAGACGAACAGGCAGGGTCTTGATTTCGGGTCGGGGAAGAGGCTTCCAGAGGGCTCTCCTCCTCCGTGATGGAGGGTCTGAGGCTTGCCTGGGTACAGGTGGGCCCTTCATAGCTGTGACAGCCTGAAGCGTTGCCCCAGCCACCCGAGGGGGGCTGTCAGACACCAGGAGGTGCTTCCAGGAGGTCCAAGATGCCCAGATGGGTGGGTCCATCCGTTGGGGTGGGAGTGGAGGGTGCCGTATAAGCCAGAGGCCTTGGAAGGAGTCAGCCTCTGGCCCAAGGGTGCAGCTTCTGTCAGATACGGCTGGCTCGGGCGGGTTCCATCGCCCAGCCCCTCCTGGGGCTGCAGGATGGAAGCCCTCAGCCACCAGCAGGAGGAGAGGGGACCGGCCCAAACACCCCTCCTACTAGGCCCGCTGGGGGTCGGCCGCGGCCCCCACCTCACTCTTCCTGTCCTCCCCAGACTGGTGGGCCAGGCCGTGGTACCCACCTGGTGATGCGGGGCGAGGCCGCCCGCACAGGCCACTGAGAGCCCCGGACGCGCCCCAGCCGCCACCATGGCCCGCCTGGCCGCCGTGCTCTGGAGTCTCTGCGTCACTGCCGTCCTGGTCACCTCGGCCACCCAAGGTAGGTGCTGCTGGGGCTGGGGAGGGGCCGTGCCTGCAAATCCCTGCCAGGAGGGCAGATAAAACAGTGAAATACCTCCCGACCACTCGTTACAGTACCCGCTTCAGACCACCCAGAACCAGGCCAGAGGAAGACTTGGGGATCATGCCCCCTAGCACCACCAAGGGGTCCCCGGATCAGCCCCTCACCCCCCAACCCAGAGCACCAGGGTCCATCCCACCAGGGGTCCTAGAGCCTGGGATTCGGGATGTGGCCTCCCGGGACCGGGACAGGCCTTCCTGGTGAGCCGATGCTCTTCTGTCTTGTGTGTGTCTCTCTCAGTGTGATTACATCTCCGAGGCTCTCGCTGGGAAGAAGGTTTAATTAAAGCATGCCCGCTGACGTTTATTTAAAAACAACTAATTACCCGGCTCGGCCCTATGCCGTTCCCGGGATCCTGCACACACCACAATTAGTGCCCCGAGCCTGCCCGCCCACCCTCACCGATTACTCAATTACAATCCCCATGGTGGGCCCAGGCGGGGGCAAGGGCAGGGTGGGAAGAGAGGAGGCCCGCTAGCCTCGCCCTCGCCCTGGCTGTGCCCCCTGCCTGCCCCTCCCAGCCCTGTCTGGAGGGCACTCATGGTGGACCCTGCTCCCCATGGCTGCCTCATACAGCCCCACCCTCCGGGGAGCCACAGAGGTGAAGGGGGCATTGTTCAGCCGTGTCACAGGGCCTTGGCACTGCTTCAGCCAGCTGGCACCCTCCCCTCCCCCAGCACCCATGTTCTCTACCTATCCAGGTCCTGCCCCACAGCGCCAGCTGGCCTGCGAGGGGCTGCTTCCACCCCCAGACCCATCCAAGCCAGCCCTCCACCCCCGGCCTCCTTCCCGGGCCCAGGAAGGGCTAAAATTAGCTGCGGAAGCAGATGATGCTAGAGGAACGCACGTAAAACTTGCCCGCAAGTGGGACTCAACTCATCCCAAAATACCCCGAGGGCCTAGCTGCCAACCCCATTGGGCCCCCAGGTGGCATTGGAGGCACTAGATCTGGAAAAAGGGGCCCATTTGGCCCTGCTGCCATCATGCACTGGTGCCTTCTCTTCATCTACAAGTGACAGTCCCCACATTGGAGCCCAGGGCCACTCTGTGCATCCCCCCTTCTCTCTGACACCCTGCAAGGCTTGGTTGGGACCAGTGTCCAAGAAGGTGGCTGCCCCAGCAGGCATGGACGGTACTGAGCCCACTCTGTCCAACAGAGACTAGCTGCCTTGATCATGTGAATGATAATAGTAATCAGTGGCTTGCCATCTCACTATGTACCGTGTGCACTGCAACCCTCTGCATGGATCTGTGAGATAGGCGTTATCAGCTCCTTAGGGAAAGAAACGGGGGCACAGAGGTGGTCAGTGACTGGACGAGGCCACCAGCCAGGGAGTGGCCAAGCCGGGATTTAAACCCCAGCCAGGGACTTCCCTGGTGGCGCAGTGGTTAAGAATCCGCCTGCCAATGCAGGGGACACAGGTTCGAGCCCTGGTCCGGGAAGATCCCACATGCCGCAGAGCAACTAAGCCCGTGTACCACAACTACTGAGCCTGCGCTCTAGAGCCCGCGTGCCACAACTACTGAGCCCATGTGCCACAACTACTGAAGCCCGCGCGCCTAGGGCCCGTGCTCCACGACAAGAGAAGCCACCACAACGAGAAGCCTGCGCACCACAACAAAGAGTAGCCCCCACTCACCGCAACTAGAGGAATCCCGCGCACAGCAACGAAGACCCAACGCAGCCAAAAATAAATAAATAAATTTATACAAATAAATAAACAAACAAACTCTGGCCATCTGGCTTCTGAGTCCCAGCTCTCAGTCTCCGAATGGCATGGGATGGAGACTGACGTGTGACAATGCAACCCCTCTGAGGGCAGGGCATGCCCGTGGCAAGTTCTTTCATTGTCATGGCAACCCTGGGAGGTTTCCTAGGTGAAAGCAAGGAGGCCCCTCCCTGTGACGTCCTCCCGGAGCACAGCACCATGCACAGCACCTCCTTCAAGAACATTTTCTAGCACGGAATCCTCCCAGTACAGCCCTGGGCTGTGGTGGCCCATTTTACAGATCCAGAAACTGAGGCCTGGTGAGGCTCCAGCAGTGGCTGTCCAGGCTGTAGTGTGCATCAGAACCACTGGTGGGTGTATCCATCCAAAGGCTCCTGGTTTCATCCCCAAGATTCTGATTCAGCAGGCCTGGGTCGGGGGGCCCAGAATCTACATTCTGAACATGATGGGTACGCTGCTGATTCCTGGGACACACCAGGAGAAGCCCTGGTCCAAGGGACACACCTGGTCTGTCAGCTGGGAAGTGGCAAAGCCAGACTCTGTGGTTTCTTCCAGAACATGAGCGTGTTCCCTCCCGCACCATCTCTGGACCTTGCATGGGGCGATGTGAAGTTAGGGAAGTGCACCAGGCCACCCTTACCTCTGACACTAACTGCGAGTCTGGGGGTCCCCCAGACCACCCCCAGCTTTGATGATTTGCCTGAACGATTCACAGAATTCAGAAACACCCTTATACTCGTGGTTATAGTTTATTACAGTGAACAGATACAGATTAAAATCAGCCAAGAGAGGGCTTCCCTGGTGGCGCAGTGGTTGGGAGTCCGCCTGCCGATGCAGGGGACGCGGGTTCATGCCCCGGTCCGGGAAGATCCCACATGCCGCGGAGCGGCTGCGCCCGTGAGCCACGGCCGCTGAGCCTGCGCTTCCGGAGCCTGTGATCCGCAACGGGAGAGGCTGCAACAGTGAGAGGCCCGCGTACCGCAAAAAAAAAAAGAAATCAGCCAAGAGAAGCGCACCATCCAGGAAAGTTCCAGGCGGTCCACTCCCAGTGCAGTCACGGGCAGCAGGAACTCTCCTGACAACGATAAGTGACAACATGCATGTTGTCCGGCCAACCCAGGAAGCTCCCCTGAGCCTTGGTGTCCAGAGTCTTTGCCGGGGCTCAGTCGCGTAGACATGGCTGACCTCAGCCTCCAGCCCCTCCAGAGGTCAGCTGATACCGCGTGGCCCCAAGTGCCTGCCTGAAGCCACATCGTGAGTGTACTAGTTTGCTGGGGCTGCTGTGACAAAATACCACAGACCGGGAGCCTTAAGCAGTAGAGATGTAGTTCCTCCCAGTTCTGGAGGCTAGACATCCAAGGTCAAGGCGTCGGCAGGGTTGGTTCCTTTTGAAGGTCACAAGGGAAGCATCGGTTCCCGCACTCGCTGGGCTTCGGTTACCTGGCCCACTCCTTACACCCATCAGGCATCTTCCACTAAGGGCTCCCTCAGGGCCTTCGCACTGGCTGTTCCCCCTGCCTGGAATGCTGTTCCCCAGCACCCGCATGGCCCCTCTCCTTGGTTTGTAGATGGCCATCTTCTCCCTGTGTCTCCACATCGTCTTCACTCTGTACGTGCCTCTAGGTCCAAATTTCCCCTTTTTATAAGGACACCGTTCCTATTGGATTAGGACCCCATAGGGCCCTATTAATGGCCCACCTTAATGACCTCATTTTAATCTGATTACCTCTGTGAAGAAGCCATCTCCAAATTCGACCACATTCTCAGGTCCTGAGGGTTAGGGCTTGATTTCAGCATTTGAATTTGGGGAGGGGGAAGACCCAGTTCAACCCATGACAGTTAGCACAGGCTGCCTGGCGTGGCTCAAGGCCCCCAGGCAAACAAAGACACTCTTCTCAAGCAGGACACTTCAGGGGCGTAGAGGGCACCGCCCCGGAGCCGAGGCAAAGGCCAGACTCTCCTTGGGCCAGGTTCATGGCCTTACTGCACAGGTGGGCACACTGAGAAGCCCATTTTACAGATGAGTAAACTGACGTTCATACGGTCCGCAGCCCAATACAGTGAAGCTGGAGGTGGCGCCTCTTCAGCGGGGGTCTTCCCTCCCTTCCTGGGCCCGGGTGTGACTCTCTCCCCCTCCTCCCTGCAGGCCTGAGCCGGGCCGGGCTCCCGTTCGGGCTGATGCGCCGTGAGCTGGCATGCGAAGGCTACCCCATCGAGCTGCGGTGCCCAGGCAGCGACGTCATCATGGTGGAGAACGCCAACTACGGGCGCACAGATGACAAGATCTGCGACGCTGACCCTTTCCAGATGGAGAACGTGCAGTGCTATCTGCCAGACGCCTTCAAGATCATGTCCCAGAGGTAAGGGTCCCCACCCTGCGGGGCTCCTGGAAGATGGGGTGGCAGCAGTCCCTGGGGTCAATAAGGTGCCTGTCCTCCATGCGCCCCTGGTCAGCACATCCCGTGCACCTTTAGTCTTCCTTTTATGCATTCGACCCATGTTTCCTGAGCAATTACTAGGGGCCGGGTCCCATGCAAACAGCAAATAAGACCCAGCCCATGCCCTGCCAGCCTGTCACCTCCCCAACCTGTACCCTCTGCCACAAGCCCGTTGCCTCCAGAAGCTCATCCTGAGATTGGTGGGGGCTTGCAGAGTAAACGCCGTGGCGGGACAGAGTGAGATGTCATGGGAACTGACAGACAGCCCAGAGGTCTGGTCAGGCTTCCCTGAGGAGGTGACAGTTGAACACAGATGGCAGAGGTGTATGTGCTTGTGAATGTCAGAGAGAACGTGTGTGAGAATGTGAGGGAGGGAGTGTGAAGACTGTTTATGTCTGTAAGTGTGTGAGTGTGGGGTGCATGTGTGCAAAGCTGCAGAAGGCTCTTTCACACTCACACCCGCACCACCTAGAGCTGGTCAGCTCTTCCTTCAAATTATACCCTGATGTGACCGCCACTTCCACCACCAAGCCCCCCGGGACTGCTACAGTATCTTCTGCCCCCTCTCCTTGCCTGCTATAGTCTGTTCCCCCCCCATAGCAGCCAGAGAGTGCTTGTGAGCACCTGAGTCAGGTCCCGTCCCTCCTCAGATCACAGCTCTCCTTGGCTCCAACCTCACGCAGAGCAAAAGCCTAAGTCCTCCCCTGAGGCCCCCAAGGCCCTACACGTTCTGCCCTGTCCTCTCCCGGCCCTCACCTCCTCCACACACCTCCTCACTCGCTGGGCTTCAGTTACCTGGCCCACTCCTTACACCCATCCGGCATCTTCCACTAAGGGCTCCCTCAGAGCCTTTGCACTGGCTGTTCCCCCTGCCAGGAATGCTGTTCCCCAACACCCGCATGGCCCCTCCCTCTCCTTACTCAGGGATTTTTTATTTTTTTATTTTTTATTTTTTGCGGTACGCAGGCCTCTCACTGTCGTGGCCTCTCCCGTTGCGGAGCACAGGCTCCGCACGCGCAGGCTCAGCGGCCATGGCTCACGGGCCCAGCCGCTCCGCGGCATGTGGAATCTTCCCGGACCGGGGCCCGAACCCGTGTCCCCTGCACCGGCAGGCGGACTCTCAACCACTACGCCACCGGGGAAGCCCCAGGGATTTTTTGTTTTTACCTAACTAACCTCTCAGCGAGGCCTGCCTGACCACCCTCTAAAATCACAGCAACCCGGCCCCCGCCCCTGCCACTTCCCAACCCCTTCCCTGCGTTCTCTCTCTCCTAGTCCTGACTTCCATCCACAGTCCCATTGGCTATTTCGCCTCTTTATCGTGTCTTTTTTTATGTCTTCCCTCACTAGGCTGTCAGCCCCACAGGGAAAGGGAGTTTTGTCTGTCACCGCTGTGTCCACAGCCAGATACACCACAGGCGCTCACTGAATTTTTGCCAAACGCCTGAGAGAATGCAGGGTTCACTCCAGGATCCTGAGCATAAAACTGGAAAAGGGAAGGAGGCCTGGGGCCAGCTCTACAGCTCCTTGGGGATGCTAGAGTATGTCACTGGGTGGGGTTACTGAAATCCTCCTGAGAGTTTTGGGCAGGAGACAGGCGTGATCAGGTGGGTGGGCCAGGCCAGAACCGCTTCATCCCCTCCCTCCCACTGTTTCTCTCCCGCACATCGGGAATTCTGTGGCGGTCCGGGGGTTAGGACTGTGCTCTCTCACTGCTGAGGGTCTGGGTTCAGTCCCTGGTCAGGAAACTAAGATCCCACAAGCTGCACAGAGCGGCAAAAAAAAAAAAAAAAAAAGGAAATAATCAAACATCCATTCCCCTCCAGCAATCTTGTCCCTCTTCCCCGCTTCCCGTCTCCTGACACCCCTGCATGGACAGTCCCAGTCCAGCCTCTCTCTCCTCCTACCTCCTGCCTCCAAATTCTCCCTGCCCACTTCACTCCGCACTGGCCTCAGGGTCCGTGATGTTCTCCGCCATGTGCCCAAGTACGTAGCACAGCGACTGACCCAGTTCCGACGCTCGTGGGGTCTCAGTCCTAGAGGGGTGACACTGAGCAGGGTGGTCACGGGGGCTGAGGGATTCTGATGAGGCCACACCTGGAGGCTCTTCATATTAGTTAGGGTCCAGCTCCACTACTCTGACGGAGACCCCCCCAGGAAAAACACAGTGACCTGAACAAGATCAGAACTGGAAAGGCCCTCAGCACCCGCTTCTCTCTGTCTCAGCGCTGCAACCCACCCCACCCCCGCTCCCACCTCCTGGGCCAGAACTCAGTTACGGGCACTTCCTGGGCACTTCCTCCCAGCTGCACGGGAGGCTGGGACATGCAGTCTCCAGCTGGAAAGCCAGCGTTTTTGTGTTTTTCTTTTTGTTTTCATCTTTAACGGAGGTGAAATCCACAGAAGATAAAATTCACCATTTTAAAGTGAACAATTCAGTGGCGTTAATGACATTCACAATATTGTACAACCTCTGCCTCCGTCTAGTTCCAGAACATTTTCATCACCTCAAAAGGAAACTCCGTCGCCCTTAGCAGTCACTCCCCGTTCCCCGCCCTCCCCTGAGTTCCTGGCAACCCTAATCTACTTTCCGTCTCTGAATTTGCCTGTTTTGGACATTTCATATAAATAGAACCGTAAAACACGTGGCTCCTGTGGCTGGCTTCTTTCACTGAGCGTGATGTGTTTAGGGCTCGTCCACGTTGTAGTGTGTATTAGAGCTTCCTTCCTTTTTACGGCTGAATAATATTCTATCGTATGGATGTACCGTGTTTTGTTTATCCACTCATTTGTCGATGGGTTGTCTCCACCTTTTGGTGATTGTGTAAATGATGCTGCTATGAACATTCGTGTACAAGAATTCGTACAGGGATACACCTGCAGTGTTACAGCTGGTGAAAGCACTTTGGGGACTAGAACTAGTTCTCTGGGTCATAGGTAACTAAGTCTCTGTTTAACCTTATGAGGTCAGTGTTATATTTTTAAAGAAGGGGGTTGAGGTGGGTGGGTATAAGCAGGTCCTCATGAGTTAAGCACTCATTGGTTAAGGGCAGGATGGAAGGGAAGGCACAGGAGCCCCCTCTGCCCTGTACCTGTCAGGAAGCTCCCCCAAACCACTTGAACACACCCACAGTCAAGTCACCGTTCTGCCCAGCCGAGACTTGGCCTGCTCCAGGGAAACGGAGACCTTGACCGTGGGAACGACGGCAAGAAACATCTTTTGTTGTCATTAACTAGGCCTCCTGTTACATGGTAGCCAGCCTCCTGAGAAGTTGACAGGGACTTGGGGGTGTTCCCCATGGGGAACCAAGGATGGCTTCAGCATGAGGTGAAGACTCTGCCCCTGTCCTGACTGCAGAGCCTCACAGCGGTGCTGTCCAAAGGGTAGGACATGTCAAGACATGGTCTGAGGTGGACACAGGCAAACGCTGTGAGCATTTCATTCATAGCATCTTTGCAAAGACACCACCTTGCGTGTATGGCTTCACATCTTACTCTTCTGTGAACGAAGTGGGGGCTTTATGGTCAATATAGGAAGAAAAAGGAAAAAAAAGGACATAATGGCACTGGTGACACTCAGGATGAAAGTGATGAAGTGTGGCTGGGGAAGCAGTTTATGGGGCCACCCCTCTGGCCCAGCCCTAAGCTTCATGCCATGCCAGGGCTTAGAAATAGAAGAATCCTATCTGGTAGGAGAGAGCAGGCAGGAAACAATGCCCACACAAGGTCCCTGGCGTGGTCTCCACAGTTCCTTCCCAATCTGGGGTTGTCCATTCCTCTCCTGACCCTGCCCCACCCCCCCCAGTTCCAGGCCTGTCTTTTGCCAGCTGCCCGTCTCTCCTCCACAGGTGTAACAACCGCACCCAGTGCGTGGTGGTCGCCGGCTCCGACGCCTTTCCCGATCCCTGTCCCGGGACCTACAAGTACCTGGAGGTGCAGTACGACTGTGTCCCCTACAGTGAGTCATCTTGTTCCTCATGCGGACGCGGGCCCTTCCCCCTTCCAGAAGCGAGTGAGGAGGAGACACCTTGAGCGCGCGCACACACACACACACACACAGGGCCAAGTCGGGGCCAGGCACACGGGGGACAGCTGGGCCTGCTCCCTCCCTCACACATTCTCTTCACCCAGACACCCTTGTCCACACTGGTGTCTGCCCCACCCACACCCCCACCCTCACAGACTCTGTCCCCATCCACTGGGCACCTTCTCCAACTCTTGTTACTCTGGCCTGCTCACCCTGCTTCTTCACATGCCCTTGGGCTTATTTATACACTCCAAGGCCACACCCACGTACTCCACTTGGCACACTTATATCTCTCCTCTCCTCTCCCTGGACCTTGACCTCGCTGCCCTCTAATTCCTCTGCCTCCCTGCTCTTCTCTCACCCCTTCCCTTCGTGACCCCCTCTTACACACCTGCTCTTCCCTCTCACTCACCCCCCTTTCTCTGAGTTCCCTTTCCTTTCTCTTGTCCCCCTCACCCCTCACGTGCCCCCAGTCCTGCCCCTTCCCAGTCCTGGAAGCTGGACTCTGTACTCATACGGAGGCAGACCACCCTCTGAGGCCTGGTGGCAGATCAGGTGTGAAGGGCTAGGGGCATCTTCCACAGATTCCTAACTCTTGGTTTGTTTGCCCGTTACCACAGTCGTACTTCCTGTCTGCAAAGGAAGTGCCACCATGTTGGACTGAGGGTGGCACCAGGAAGCCTGAGAAAGGTGATCTGGGGAGCCAGGGGCCTGCCATTCTTGCACCTGGCCAAGGGGAGCAAACAATGACAGGGTCTCTCCTCCTCAGCACCCCACCCTTAACGTGGCCCTTCTTTCCAGCCCTTACTCTTCCCTCCCTTTCCCCCATCATCCATCCCCTCCCCTGCACCCCCAGCTTCATGTAGGCAACCTAGAGGTAGGGCCTCCGGGCAGAGGCGGGAGGAGGCAGGGCCACCAGGGTGTCTGAGTGTGAGGGGGTAGGGGCGGGGGCGCAGGAGGCCCTGTGACTCTCCCTCCTCTCCCCTCCCACCCCAGCCTTCCCCCCTCTCCCCAACCTTTGATTTCTCCTCGCAGGTGACTGCAGATGTGCTGGGGGAGACGGGACGGCTTATGTGCTTCCATAACCTTCTTCTTTTACTCCTCACCCTTTCCTTTCAGCGACCAAGGCCTCCAGCCACTGCCTGAGAGGGACGCCCATCTGATCCTTGAAGCCTCCCCACAGCACTGGGGACACCGCCCAGCCCCATGGCTGGGGCAGCAGGGAAGGGGGGCAGGAGTTGGGGAGCGTAGCACAGTGGGGAAATCAGGCTGGGTTCGAGGCTCGGCCCCGGCCCTTGGGTTTTCTGGCTCTGAAACTTGAGCCAATGACGTAATTTCTCTGGGCCGCTGCAGAAGGAGGCGAAAGGCCAGGAGATCACGTGTGTGAAGCGCCTAACCCAGGGCTGGCCGCAGAGGCTGCTCCTGGTGACAGAGTGCTGGATGTAAACTCCTGCAGGGCAGAGGCCTCATCTTCACCCCCCTCCCAGCGCCCAGGCCCAAGCCTGGTTCAGGATGTGCTCAGTAATGCTTTGGGTGCCCTTTCGATCCAGCTGAACCTACACCTTCCTCTTTAATGGTGGGAGGGGAATCAAACACCTTCCCTGAGGTGTTGCCCGGAGTACAGAGAACGTGGGTCAAAGCTCCTTGTGCACCGTCAGCCGTAGGTGTGAGGGAAACGGTGCCTGCTTTTGATAGCCAGGTAGCCTCAGCCGTGTTGCTTCACTTCACTGGTCCCCTTTCCCCCTCTATAGACAGGGTTCTCGAAAGGCTGCCCGAGAGGTGCTTAGCACGGTTCCTGGCGCAGAGTAAGCGCCGGGCACTTGGTAGTTGTTGCTTTTCTTGTGACCCCCTCATCATGATTTTTACCAATTATTATAATTGCTATTGGTAATCAAAAATAAAACTAACAACAGATGACAAACCCAATTTCTCCTGAAGCAGGTAAGATAAAGGGCAGGAAAAAAAGAAATCCCCTGATCCAAGTGTCATCCAAAGTGGATACCGTGCAGGGAAAGGAGCAGGAAAAAAGTTAGAGGGTGTGGGGAGGAGAGGGGCTTAGAGACCTCCTGGAGCCAAACTCCAAGTGTGGGTGGGAGGGCGTGACCCTCAGAGAGCAGGAGGGCTCAGGGGATGGGCAGCCCCCAGTCTGATGGGAGAGAGCTAGCCTGAGCCCTGGGAGAGGCAGGGGCACACACGCATACACGCTCTCGTAGTCACAGACGTGAAGGATGTGTCTTGCGGGGGCTGAGCTAACTCCCGGTCCCAGAAGAAGAGGGCTGGTGTTACGAGGGTGATGGAAGCCACGCCGCAGAACAGGGAAGCCGGGCACTCACTTATCCCCCAGAGTTTCTCTGAGCACCTCCTGCGTACCAGGCCCTGGATGAGGCGCTGGGAAGGGAGCCAAACACTGCTCCACCAGAGAGGTGGCAGGAGAGCGAGGCCCTGGTCAGAGGTTCCTAAGGGGTCAGGGACACAGAGCCTGGAGGGGGCGTGCCCTGGGCAGCCATGTTGCCCTGGGCTTCAGAGGCTGGGGTGACCCCAGTGCTGGTCAGGGGTGGGTGCAGGGGCTACCGTGGGAAGGGAGCGGTGGGTGTGCAGGGCTCCCTGCCACACACACATACCGGACAGGCCCGACTAACACTGGATTTGCCTTGCAGCAGAGCACAGTCTAACCATGCCCCCTTCCTCCCCCAGGTGCCGCCCGCCCATCCCAACAGCGGGCTGGGGAGTGCCCGGCTCCTGGGCCCCCAGGGGGGAGCTGGGCAGAGAAACTGAGCCTCGGGCTTGCCCCGGGGGAGTGTGGGAGCGTGTCTGTGCCCCACCTGCTGTCCTGCCCCATCTGTGATGTCCCCCCCACCCCAGCCTCTTCCCTCTCTGCCTCTGTCTCCCCCTCCGGGCTCTTTGAGGCCCAGGGGGCTCTGCCTGTCTGCCTCTCCGTCATTCTGTGTCTGATGCTGCCACCCTCTCTGTGTGTTGGCTTGTTTGGGGTTCTGAGGGTTTGGGGAAACTCAGCTGGAGTCTTGCAAGGCCGGCACAGAAGGGGAAGGAGTCCAATGTGTTCTCTCTCATGAGGCTACCAGGCCCCAGGAGGCACTGAACCCCCTCCCCTGGGCCCCTGGTTCTAGCAGGAGGGCAGCAGGCCGGGCTGAAGGGGATCTAAGTGATTCCTTCACCCTCCCCACCATCCCCGCCTGGTGCCCCCCTAAGCGGAGCCGCCTCCCAGCTGGGGCTCCCCTCCCCAGTCCCCACTGCACTGAGGGTGCCCCTTCCCATCTGAGGGCTCTGCCCCCATGCCTGCCTGTACACCCCCCTCCCCCCCACACCCCTCGTCTCTCTTGGTCTCTGTCCTCCCATGTGTCTCCCCTCCCTGTGACTGTCTCCCTGACACCCTCCCTGAAGGAAAGGACTTGGGGGCGGGGGCTGATGCTACCTTCGGGGTTGGGGAACCAGGAGTGAGGAAAGAAAGGAAAAGGGGGCGTGTTGCCAGAAAAGAAACGAAAGCAATTTAATCTTTTTTTTTTCTCTTTTTTTCTTGCACATTTTTTTTTTCAATTTGTTTTCTCTCTCTCTTCCGATGCTTAAAGTAGAAGTGGAGCAGAAAGGTAAACGCACTGTTACCAATGCTAACCCCTAACTCAGACTTTGTTTTACCTGCACCATACTTATGTGACCCACCCTCCCCTCCGGCCCCTTCTTCTCCCCCCACCCCAAACTTGGTCCAGTCGCTATTCCCCACCCCAGTGTCCCCCTGGTGGGGCAAGCCCTGGTGCAGCCGGGTGACTCCACCCTCCAGACACCTGAGGAAGCTCCTCTCTGAGCCCGGGCAGGATCTTCCGTCTCTTTCTCTGCCTCTCTCTCTCTCTCTCTCTCTCTCTCCCTCCCTCTCTCTCTCTCTCTCTCCCCCCAAGCCTCCCCACCCCCCGGCCCACCTTCCTAGTCCCTGGCCCTTGCGGGGCCGGGGGGGACCTGGCCTTCTCTCATACTTCTTTTGCCTCCTTCAGGAGAAGTGTGTAAGCATCCAGGGCGGGTGGGGAGGGAGGGACCCCCTTCCCTGGCTCCTGACCAGGGGTGAAGGGCACCGGGTGAGCCGTCTCTCTCCTCTCTTCCTCCTGCCCCCCGCTTTTGTAACATGTGTCGGGGTTCGGGGGAGGCAGGGTGGAGGGGACACCTTTGTTTTCCTTTTGGGGAGCAGTTTCCTCCTCTCTCTTTCTCTCTCTCTCTTTCTCTCTCTCTCTCTCTCTCTCTCTCTCTCTCTGGCTCCTGGCGGCTTCAGTTCCTTCTGGTTTGGCGTTTCCAAGGCCCAGAGCTGTTTTGGAGCATGGAGTACCAGTTTCCCCCAGTCCCAACCCCTGTCCTCCACCAGCGGGGGGCCCAGCCCTGGGGAGGGGTATAAGCTGTCCCCAGCCCGGGGAGGGCAGCCTGCCAAATCGGGACGAGGGGGTGGGGGCGGGCCTCAAGGTTGGGGGAGTGAGGGGCGGGGGAGCATTTTCTCTGGTTCTGAAATACTTGCGAAGCTGCAGTCAGGGTTTCTTCTGGGCTGTTGTGGTTAGAGGACCAGGGAGAGGGGGGCGGGGGAGGTATAGGCCGGGTCGGGGACTTCCACGAGCACCATAATTTCTTGCGGGTGACACCTCCAGTGGGGGCTGGGTAGAACTCCATAGGGGGCAGAGCTGTCCGTTAGTGGAGTCGGGCAGGGCTGCAGCTGCAGGCCTGGGCTCTTGGGGATGGTCGCTTCCTCCCCTGAAAGTTTTGGGAAATTTGCAGCTCTGAGGCAGGCAGCAGGGGCCGCGGATGGAAGGGATGACCTTTCAGGATCACTTCTGCCTTGAAATTACGGTGGTCGGTGGAGCATCCCCTTTGAGGGAGGTGGGGCGGGGTCCCTCCGAGCTGCTCCCCTCCCCCTTGTCCCTTCCCCCATCTCACAGAGGCCTGGGCAACCAGCCCACCGCCCTGCCCCTCACTGCACCCCTCCACTCTCTCCCTCTCTTTCTCCTGGAGTCTCTCTCCCACCCAGCACCAGACACTCTTCTTGCAGGCCCGGTGGTGGTTTGGATACGGCAGCCTGGGATCTTTTCTCTTCAAAGGGCGGGTGGGAGGAGGCTGGAGGGCAGAGGAGGTATTGGGAGCTTGGTGCTGGGGAGGGGGTCCTTGCTGGCAAAGGCCCCAGGCAGACCCTTCCTCATCTTCTCCCCCTTCCCCAGGGTAACCTCTAACCACGTTTTCCTCCGCCATGCCCTGCCGACCAGGCTAGGCTCTGAGACCTCCCACTGCCCACCCCCCCACACACACAAGCACATCAGCTCAGTCGTCACAAAGCTGGCGGGGGACCTAGCTTGGAGAGAGGGGAGACCCAGGGACAGGGGAAAAGGGCAGAGGCCAGTGTGCTGAACAGAAGGTGCAGGCCAACCCCTCAGGGCACTGGGGACAGGGAGATGGTGGAGCCCCAAGCTCCCCTCCCCCTCCTAAAACAGGGCATGCTCCTGGCTGCCTTGTGCCTGGAGACCCTTGGGTCAAAATGTCCCCCTGCTGCTGTGAAGGGAGGGCTGGATCTCCGCACCCACCCACCTGAGCCTCCTGAAGAATGAGGCTGGAAGTGGGGGAATGAGAAGTGTCCAAGCCCCCACCCCCCACGCCGGCACCAAGTCCCAGCCCTCCCTGTCCCCTCGGGGCCAGCTGCTTCCGGTGACAGACCAAGCAGGAGCAGAGAATTCACTACAAACTCTCACCCTGGCCTGTCCGTGGGTTCTGCTAGCAGGGAGGTGAGAGGGAGGCCCCCAGCCATCCTGGATGGAGGGACATCACCTCTACAGGAGGAGGAGGGGAGCCTGGCCACACTGTGAAAGTCCAGACCCCCCACCGGGTCAGTAAGGGGAGGCTAGGAGCAGGCGGCGCTGGGACGTGACGGGGCAAGGGTGGGCAGGCTATTGGTGGCCAACGAGATGCAGTTGAGGTTTTCCTCCTTTTCAGGGAATGGGGGGGTGGGGCGGGGCCCCCCACCTTTCTGACATCAGCGCTGCCTTGGTCCCTCCTCCCGAGCCGGGGATGGTTGCAGGTAAATCGGGGTCAGGGCAGGGGAGGTGGGGGGGCGGGGCCTGCTGGGGGCGGGCTGGGTCTTTATCCTAGCACCTGGTTCCCTCCCTTGCCCCTTCTGAGCTGGACCTGGGACTGCCCCCCCAAGGGACCCTCAGTCGGGCCTGGGCCTTGGAGTGAATTCTCTGCTCACCCCCCTCTCTCCTCGCCAGCACTAACCCTTTCTTCCCAGGTGCTCTCCAGTGTGCCTCCCTTGGAGCCAGGACCTCGCCGAGCCCCACCACCACCACCTTGTCTCTCTTCCCTCCACACAGCTCTCCTCCCCCCCACCCAACTCTCCCGGGAGTCCTCTCCCTCCCCAAGTTCTCCCCCTCACCCCTGTGCACCAGTGTCAGTGTCTGCTGCTGAATAACCCCCATGAGAGACCCTGCCGGCTGGGGGCAGGGCTGGGCACCCTCAGGAGGGGCTGGACTTTTCCGAATACCCTTCCTCAGCTACTGATTTCATGGGTACTGGGGGTGGGGGCTGCCACAGGCTGCATCAGGAACCTCGGGTGCCTCTCCCACCCTGGAATAGAAGTGCGCTCCTGACACCCACCCACAGTGGGTACGGAAACATCACTCTACCTTGCAGTTTTTGCAGGAGGAAGAAAATGGAGTTTAAAAAAAAAATCTGTGTCCTGGTGTGGTTGGTGAAGGATGGGACCCTTGACCCCTAGCTCTTCCATAGGGGCGCAGATGATGGCGAAGGGGCAGGGCCCTGAGTCCCTGGAACCTCAAAGCCACCAGTGGCTGCAGTGAGGAAATCTTTCCACTCCTGCTTAAGGCACACGAGATCGTCTCTGGGATGCCTCTTGCCAAACCCCTTATCCCCAGCCTGTGGGGTCTCTAGCAGCCAGGGAAGGAAAGAGGGGCACTACCTCCCACCACTAACCCTGCTCTTAATGGCCTCCAGGGTTGACATCTCCAGGGAGAGGGGCAGCTGGGCGGGGCAGGGGTCCCAGCCCGGAAACCCCCTTCCCATCACCAGCCCTACCAAGCAACCGTGACTGCAGCAGCAGGAGGGGACAGCCTGGCACCCCCCTGGCCGCGTGACCAACTTGCCTCTCTCTCTCCCCCTCCTTTGCCCCTGCTCCTCTCCCCGTGTCCTCCCCGCCCACCCACCTGGCCCAGTCTTCGTGTGCCCAGGGACTCTGCAGAAGGTGCTGGACCCCACCTCGACACACGAGTCGGAGCACCAGTCTGGCGCATGGTGCAAGGACCCACTGCAGGCGGGTGACCGCATCTACGTCATGCCCTGGATCCCCTACCGCACGGACACGCTGACCGAGTACGCCTCGTGGGAGGACTACGTGGCGGCGCGCCACACCACCACCTACCGCCTGCCCAACCGTGTGGATGGCACCGGCTTCGTGGTCTATGACGGCGCCGTCTTCTACAACAAGGAGCGCACGCGCAACATCGTCAAGTACGACCTGCGCACGCGCATCAAGAGCGGGGAGACGGTCATCAACACGGCCAATTACCACGATACCTCGCCCTACCGCTGGGGGGGCAAGACCGACATCGACCTGGCCGTGGACGAGAACGGGCTGTGGGTCATCTACGCCACCGAGGGCAACAACGGGCGGCTGGTGGTGAGCCAGCTCAACCCCTACACGCTGCGCTTCGAGGGCACGTGGGAGACCGGCTACGACAAGCGCTCGGCGTCCAACGCCTTCATGGTGTGCGGCGTCCTCTACGTGCTGCGTTCCGTGTACGTGGATGACGACAGCGAGGCGGCCGGCAACCGCGTGGACTACGCCTTCAACACCAACGCCAACCGCGAGGAGCCCGTCAGCCTGGCCTTCCCCAACCCCTACCAGTTCGTCTCTTCCGTGGACTATAACCCTCGTGACAACCAGCTGTATGTCTGGAACAACTATTTCGTGGTGCGCTATAGCCTGGAGTTCGGGCCACCCGACCCCAGTGCTGGTGAGGACAGCTCAAGTTTGCTCCCAAACGCCCCCTAGGTCCCAGGGTTGGGGGGTGCACTCTGTGACATCCTAGGGGGCCTGGAGGTGGGTTCGGGGGAGCCCTGGAGGCAATGGCAGTGTGACATGGCAAGGTGACAGAGGCTGTTCTAAGCACGCAATTAACTCCTCTGACCCTCGCAGCCTAGGAGACGGGGCTTATCATTGCCCCATTTTACAGATGAGGAAACCCAAGCACTGGGTGAGTATGGGATTAGCTTGCTCCTTTGAGGATTTGGACCAAGGACTCTGGGCTCCTAACCAAGCTGTGCTATGTCTCTTAGAGGCCTGTGCATTTCGAGCCCTGGAACCTCTTCAACCAAAATCTTGGGTGGAAGCCCAGTATCAGTAAAACAGCAAAGCCGAGCCGCCAATGTTGGCCGGGATTGGGGGCCCCTCCACAGTCTCATTCCGCCCTCTCAGCTGCCCCAAACCAGCTCTGAGCAGCCCCATGGCTCCAGGGAGTCCCATCTAATCCAAAAGGAGGAGCTGAGGCCCCCAGAGGGAAGGGACGTGGCCAGGTCAGAGAGGCCAGAGTAAGAGTAGAATGAGGATGGGAGGTGGCTGTGTAGAACAGCCTCCAGACACCTCCTTCCTGGCCCGTCTTCTGTGGTTGCTCTCTCAGACTTCAAAGTACAAATGAGTGAATTTTTGCCACCTTCCAATGCTTCAGATGGTCCCAGGGGTACGAGGGACCTCTGTGGGCAGACGGGCCAGGGGAGCTCTCCCAGACCTAGTGGGGACCAGGATATCTTTCAGTAGGCCTGACGCGTGGGGGTAACCCCGTCTCATATCCCCTCTCCCTTCCAGGCCCAGCCACCTCGCCACCCCTCAGCACGACCACCACGGCCCGGCCCACACCCCTGACCAGCACAGCCTCGCCTGCGGCCACCACCCCACTCCGCCGGGCGCCCCTCACCACGCACCCCGTGGGTGCCGTCAACCAGCTGGGACCTGACCTACCTCCAGTCACTGCCCCCGCCCCCAGCACCCGACGGCCCCCCGCCCCCAATCTGCACGTGTCCCCGGAACTCTTCTGCGAACCTCGAGAGGTGCGGCGGGTCCAGTGGCCGGCCACCCAGCAGGGCATGCTGGTGGAGAGGCCCTGCCCCAAGGGGACTCGAGGTGAGTGCAGAGCCGAGGTTACCTCCGCCGCAGCTGGCTTGGGGAGTGGCCACTGCTGGGTCTGGCCAGGGAAGGGACGGGGGACATGCCCTTAACTCAGCTCAACGTAGATGCACTTACCTGTCCATCTCCCCTGGCAGAGTGTGGGTTTCATGCAGGGGTCACGCCTGATGTCTGCAGCTGTGTCCCCAGAGCCCAGCAGAGCTCCCAGGACACAGCAGCAGCTCAGTTAGTGCCCCATGCCTCGTCCCCCGTCCCCTCCTGCGATACTAAGCACCCGCCACGTGCAAAGCGCTGGGTGGACCCTGCGGGGAGCCCACGGGAGGTAACTTGAGTCCTGGCTTCAGACTGAAACGGAAGAGGCCCGGGAGCAGCTGAAGTGCCCAGAGAGGGTGGAGCCAGACCGCATGCTCTAGGGATCCCAAGGGGAGGGTCAGAAGAGGCTTCGTGGGGGGGAGGGGGCTTCCAAGGCGAGCTTTGCTAGAAGGTTCCAACTGTGGTAGGCAAAGACGGAAGAGGAGCCCAGAGGGAGGGTTTAGGGGAAGAAGGAGTGGCTTATGTCACCTCAGAGTGACACCTCTCTTGACTGTCCGGCCTGCTTCATGTCTGGTCTTCCGTGTTCCCCTCACCTCTCTCCTCACCCACTCGTCCCCCTCTCTCTGTCATCTCCTTTCTCCCTGCTTTGGCCCATCCTTCTCTCCTTCCCTGTGGCTCCCTTCTCTGTTCCTGTGTGTCTGTCCCTACAGGAATTGCCTCCTTCCAGTGTCTACCAGCCCTGGGGCTCTGGAACCCCCGGGGCCCTGACCTCAGCAACTGCACCTCCCCCTGGGTCAACCAGGTGGCCCAGAAGGTACCAGCAGAAGCTGCCCCTCCCAGTCAGGCGCACGTGCTCACACAGCAGGCCCTGGGTGCCCGGGCACAGGGCACAGTGGGGGCAATGGAACAACTGGGGAGACAAGCAGGGGTCCACTCCCTGGCCTGCAGAGGGAGCAGAGATAGATGGGGAGGGAGAAGGCAGACAGGGAGAAGGGGCAGCAGAGAGAGGGATGAGAGGGGCTGAGCAGGCTGGGCGCGTGAAGAGGGAAGCAAAACGGTCCCTGACAGAGCCGGGGCATCCCACTCCCGTCTCACACAGATCAAGAGCGGGGAGAACGCAGCCAACATTGCCAGCGAGCTGGCCCGCCACACCCGGGGCTCCATCTATGCGGGTGATGTGTCCTCCTCTGTGAAGCTGATGGAGCAGCTGCTGGACATCCTGGATGCCCAGCTGCAGGCCCTGCGGCCCATCGAGCGCGAGTCAGCTGGCAAGAACTACAACAAGGTAGAGCCTGGCAGCAGGGCCAGCAGGGCAGGGGGCACTGCCCTGGGAACTTAGGAGATAGCCGGCCTGTTACCGCGGAGCTGGGCTGCCACCCATGGTGACGGGAGAAGGAAGGACAGACCCCAGGTCTACTGGGGCTCCCTCCTGAACTGCCCTGGACGGTCCTGGGGGTGTGGGCTCCCTTAGGAATGGTTCTCGCTCATGGCCTAGCCCCAGGTCAGTAGCAGAGGCAGAAGAGCAAGCTCCCTGGGGCCCAGACATGAGTGTCGGGGTTAGAGGAGTGGGGCTGGGAGACCAGCCCTGAGAGCACCTCCATCTCTTTCCCCAGATGCACAAGCGAGAGAGAACCTGTAAGGACTATATCAAGGTGAGGCTCAAGGGCTCCTGCTGGCCGAGGGGGTGGGGCAGCCCTTGTCGCTCCTGGGCAGGCCCCAGGTGGCGCTGGGGATGGAGTTTCGGAGAAGGGGGCGCAGAGCCCAGCCCAGGGAACTGGAGGATGTAGGGGGAATCACGGAGCTGCCCCCGCACCGTTGCAGGCCGTGGTGGAGACGGTGGACAACCTGCTGCGGCCAGAGGCTCTTGAGTCCTGGAAGGACATGAATGCCACCGAGCAGGTGCACACGGCCACCATGCTCCTGGATGTCCTAGAGGAGGGCGCCTTCCTGCTGGCCGACAACGTCAGGGAGCCTGCCCGCTTCCTGGCCGCCAAGCAGAACGTGGGTGAGTGCTACAGTCGCGCTAGGGCAAGTTTGGGCGCAAATCTTGAACGGTGGGGGCCCCCTCGGCCTGGAGACCGTGGGGGATACCCTGGCCCTCGACCTTGGGCCTCTTGCCACAGCCCGGGCCTCTGGACTGTGGACAGACCCCCAACCTTGTGTGCCCTGCCGTCCCCTGTCCCCACAGTCCTCGAGGTCACAGTCCTGAACACAGAGGGTCAAGTGCAAGAGCTGGTGTTCCCCCAGGAGTACCCGAGCGAGAACTCCATCCAGCTGTCCGCCAACACCATCAAGCAGAACAGCCGGAACGGTCAGTGCCCGAGCCCCGTGCGGGCACCCCTGCTCCTCTCGCGGAGGATGGCGGTTCTTAGCTTTTATCGCACTGAAGAATCCGGAAGGAGGTTGGGACCCGTGGCCACACACAGGTGTCCTTCATTGAAGCTAGTGTTAACATCTCAGGGGGTTCGTGGAGACCCCCCCCCCCCCCGAAGCCCCACAGAGCCAAGCACGCTTCGCAGTTAGTAGGGCTCACTCCTGTGCAGTGGCAGTTCAGGGAGGCTTGCGCCATTTGAGATGAAGGTCCAGAGAGGTTAGGGATTTGCTCAACGTTACACAGTAAGTGAGAGGTGGGCCGGGGACCTGGCCTGTGTATCCCGGCCCACTGCCCTGCCGTTGAAAGCTGCCTATAACTGAGCAGGGGTCCCGCAGAAGGGCTCCCAGAGCCCCACTTGCCTGGGCTGCAGCCTGCCTGGCTTCAGAGGTCCTGGCGGCCAGCGTGGTGGAGCTGCACACCAGCCAGGGGCTGACAACACACCCTGCTGTGCCTGTTCTCCCCAGGAGTGGTCAAAGTTGTCTTCATCCTCTACAACAACCTGGGCCTCTTCCTGTCCACCGAGAATGCCACGGTGAAGCTGGCAGGTGAAGCGGGCGCGGGGGGCCTGGGGGGCGCCTCCCTGGTGGTGAACTCCCAGGTCATCGCAGCGTCCATCAACAAGGAGTCCAGCCGAGTTTTCCTCATGGACCCTGTCATCTTCACTGTGGCCCACCTGGAGGTGAGCTGAGGCGCCCCCTCCCTCCGTGAGGTCCCAGCATCCTCCATTGTCCCTGGCTGTGCACGCCCCCCTACTGTGTGTTCACCCACCCCGAGAGCAAGTTACAACCCCTCCCTGGGGCCCCAGCCCCCACCTCAGCAGCTTGGGCCATTTTGTCCCCAGAGGTCTCAGACTGTCACCTGGAGCCCAGAGCCCCAGGCACTCGTCTCCTGCTTGTCGCTATCCCCATAGCCGGGTGTGTGGGCTGGAGTGGGACTCCCCGGATCTGACCCCCCGGTCACCACCACACAACAGGCCAAGAACCACTTCAATGCCAACTGCTCCTTCTGGAACTACTCGGAGCGTTCCATGCTGGGCTACTGGTCGACGCAGGGCTGCCGCCTGGTGGAGTCCAACAAGACCCACACCACGTGTGCCTGCAGCCACCTCACCAACTTTGCCGTGCTCATGGCTCACCGCGAGATCGTAAGCTGGCCAGCGCTCCGTTCCTCCGGGCGGGCCCACTTTCTGGCCCGGCTTTGCATGGCATCCTAGAAAGTGCTGCATGGGCGGTGCCAGGGAAGGCCAGCTTCGTGGGCATGGGGGGCCTGAGTCTTGCCCGGGGCATGAGGCCACACGTCTGGTTCTCTTTGGTCACGGTCCCACCTTCTCCCAAGGCACTCTGGAGAAGCACGTTGGTGTCACCTTTGTCATCTCTCCACGAGCCTTCCAGAGCATGAGGAAGTGAGCGTGCCGCCTGCAGAGGGGTGGGGGCCGGCAAGTTGGCCAGGGGGGCAGAAGGCCGGGTGGGCTGCACCAGTGGTGCTCGTGGCCCACGGCCTTGCCCGTAGCTGGCACCTAAGTGGAGCCCTGGCCACGTGCGAGACCAGAGGCGCTAAGTACACCCCCTGCTCCTTCCCCCAGTACCAGGGCCGCATCAACGAGCTACTGCTGTCAGTCATCACCTGGGTGGGCATCGTCATCTCCCTGGTCTGCCTGGCCATCTGTATCTCCACTTTCTGCTTCCTGCGGGGACTGCAGACTGACCGGAACACCATCCACAAGAACCTGTGCATCAACCTCTTCCTGGCCGAGCTGCTCTTCCTGGTTGGGATAGACAAGACTCAGTATGAGGTGAGCAGGACTCCAGGGCAGGAGAGGATGGGGGAGAGACGGCACCGGCCGGCCGGGGCAGCCCCTCACCCGTGGTGCTCGCCACTCTCTAGATTGCCTGCCCCATCTTCGCTGGCTTGCTGCACTACTTCTTCCTGGCTGCCTTCTCCTGGCTCTGCCTGGAGGGCGTGCACCTCTATCTGCTGCTGGTGGAGGTGTTTGAGAGCGAGTACTCCCGCACCAAATACTACTACCTGGGCGGGTACTGCTTCCCAGCCCTGGTGGTGGGCATCGCAGCCGCCATCGACTACCGCAGCTACGGCACCGAGAAGGCGTGAGTGCCCCCTTCACCCCCCGAGTCTCTCCCCCTTGCTGGCTCCCTGCTCAGCAGCATCCCTTGGGCCAGGACCCTCAGGGCACTGGCCTCCCTTCTCCTGAGCCCCGAGGCCGCAGCCAGCAGAGTCCCTGGGCTCCTGGAGTCAGAGGGAGGGAAGAGCCCGCCCCCCCGCCACCTCTCAATACCCCGGCCCTGCTTCCTTCACAGCTGCTGGCTCCGAGTGGACAATTATTTCATTTGGAGCTTCATTGGGCCTGTCTCCTTTGTTATCGTGGTAAGTTGCAAGGCAGTACCCCCAGTACTGAGTCTCTATCCTTCATCCAGCCTAGCTCTGACCCCAAGGCCCCCCTTCTCCCCAAGCCCTTGAAAAGCATCAGAACTGAGCAGCCAACTAAGAAAACGAGAGCAGAGTGGGCCTGTAGAGCTCCAGCACTGAGGTCCGTCCTTCCAGGAGCTGTGATTTGAGCCCCTGCTCTGTGTCAGGCCATGGGCCCTGCCCCCCGGCCCCGAAGCCACATTAACAGTTACGCCAGTAGGCAGGCACCTGGGGGCAGGTACAGCAGCAGAGGGGACCCTGAAGAAGGGGGGTCGTGGCTGAGACTTGGCCAGGAGCTGACGCCAGGAGGCAGAGGGACCCTGGCCCAGCCCCTCCCCTTGTCCCGCCCCCAGGTGAACCTGGTGTTCCTCATGGTGACTCTGCACAAGATGATCCGCAGCTCCTCCGTGCTCAAGCCCGATTCCAGTCGCCTCGACAACATTAAGTGAGCACCCCCTCGCCCCACCCGTGCCCTGGGACTTCCCAGGCCTCTCCCAGCGTTTCCTAAAAGGTGGTGTTCTGCCTCTGGTGTCACATACTGTGATTTTAAGGACAAAGATGGTGTTTTACTGTGTTTGTTATGTATCTATTTAACGAGTATTAGAAAACATGGTATTAGCACATCCAGCTGTGGTTTTAGGCACATAATTGCTAAGGGTGAGACTGAGTTCAAAAAGTGAGTCCAGGGAATTCCCTGGCGGTCCAGTGGTTAGGACTCTGCACTTTCACTGCCAAGGGCACAGGTTCGGTCCCTGGTCGGGGAACTAAAGATCCCACCAGCCATGCGACTCGGCATAAAAAAAAAAAAAAAAAAAAGTCCATTTCAGGGCAACTTAAAGGCAGATAGGCAGCAAAAGATAGTTTAAAGGTCTGGAAATATGGCCAAAAGGATGAAGGATGCAGGAGAATGACTGGCCATTCACAGAGCCCTGACCCCTGACCTCTGCCTGCCCCTCAGGGTCAGCTTGGGTGAAAGTGTCACTGGGCAGGCCTGCTCATCCCAGGGCAGCATCCAGGCCTGCTCAAAGAGGGACACGCAGCAGGGCTCTGGGGGAGGCATCTCTGCTGGCAGGGACTTTGATGTCCCTGTTCCCTCTCCACCTCTCCCCAGATCCTGGGCCCTGGGGGCCATTGCGCTGCTCTTCCTACTGGGCCTCACCTGGGCTTTCGGCCTCCTCTTCATCAATAAGGAGTCGGTGGTCATGGCCTATCTCTTCACCACCTTCAACGCCTTCCAGGGGGTCTTCATCTTCGTCTTTCACTGCGCCTTACAGAAGAAGGTGAGGTCCAGGGAAGGGACCAGGTGCCTGCCTTCTGTAGCGGGACCTGTGTCTGCCTGGAGGGAAGCACAGGCTCACAGGGAGGATTTAGGCAGGGGTGCAGAGGGTTGTGGAAAAGAGCAAGATACAGGGGCCTAGAGGAACGAGAAAGCAAGGCAGATTTGGGGAGTTGGGAGAGCACAGGGCCTGTAGAGCTCCAGCACTGAGGTCCGTCAGTGAGGTCCGTCATGTCCCAGTGAGGGACATGGTTGATGGACCCTCCCCAGGGTGTAGGGCACAAGTCAAGCATGTGGAGGGAGATGACTCTGGGTGCCACCCAGACAGAACATTTCCGACTTTAATAGTTGTGGGATAAAATGTGAATTTTGTGGTGATAGGAAGTTTCTTTTTAAAATAAAGTGTGTTACAGTCTGAATCTTAAAAAAAAATAAATTAAGGAGATAACAGAAGCAGAAGAATGTGGAGAAGAGTGTACGGGCAGTAGACTCAAGACTAAAGCCAGGGAAACTGAGCCAAGGCGTTTGTAGATTCATATCCTGAAGGCAGTGGGGAGGCCCGGTCAGACTGTTGTTGGTCTTAGGGGACAGTGAGGGGGGTAAGGCTAAGGAAGGGATGAAGGAGGCAGTGATCACAAGTCTTGGGTGCAAGGTTGACTGTTCTGCTCAAAACTGTCCCATGGTCCTCATCAGACACACAGGGACATCCTTACAGAGGCCCCCAGGCCCATACGGTCCAACCTGGGCTTCCCCTTCTCTTCCCTTCCCTCCAGCCATTCTCTGTCTTCTGCTCCCTCAGACACCTAGACATGGACCCTCCCCAGGGCTTGTCCCCTGCCCCTCCCCACATATCCACAGGGCCCACTACCTTATTTCTTTTAGGTCTTTGCCGAAATGTCTCCTTAGTGAGGCCTCCCCTGATCTTTTTGAAATCGTGCCCCCGACCCCCACCGACAGCACTGCCTACCTCCCGGCCATGGTTCTCGGCAGCACCTCACACCATCAGATGCCCTACATAACGCACTGATGTTTCACCCGTGTTCAGTCTCTGTCTGCTAGAAAATACCAGCTCTGAGAAGTAGGGCTTTGGGTCTGATTTGCGTCTGTCCTCGGGGCCTAAAGCACACCTGGCGTATAGAGGATGCTCATTAAAGATCTGTTGAGTGAATGAATGGATGAGAAATTATTGGTGGAGGTGGAGAAAGGAGGATGGGCCTGAGTGAGAAGAGAGCCTTCTTGGCTGGCTGTTGGGAGACAGGAGACAGTGGGGCTTCTGATCCCCACCAGCAGCTTGGTCACTGGACCCCCAAGGCGGGGGCGCCTACTGCCTGTCCTCCTCGCCCCCCCAGGTGCACAAGGAGTACAGCAAGTGCCTGCGTCACTCCTACTGCTGCATTCGCTCCCCGCCCGGGGGCGCTCACGGCTCACTCAAGACCTCAGCTATACGGAGCAACACCCGCTACTACACGGGGACCCAGGTATCCAGGCCGGGGGCTGGGGCGCCAGGCAGGGCTCCCTGGGGCTGAGTGTTGGAACCGAGAGCCCAAGAGGCAGGGCAGTTCTCTGCCCAGGTCCCTGGTGGTGCTCATCAGGCAGGTGGTCTCAGAAAGATCGTGGAGGGTGGGCGGCCCAAGGGCCCCCTCACGTCTGAGCTGTGTCCCCAGAGCCGAATCCGGAGGATGTGGAACGACACCGTGAGGAAACAGACGGAATCCTCTTTCATGGCGGGTGACATCAACAGCACACCCACCCTGAACCGAGGTGAGACTGGATCCCTCACCCCCGGCTTCAGTCCCTCAAGATTCCCGAGCCCAGGTCTCCTGGCCGCCTTGTGACCTCTGACCTCCTGGGCAGGTACCATGGGGAACCATCTGCTGACCAACCCTGTGCTGCAGCCCCGTGGGGGGACCAGCCCCTACAACACTCTCATTGCCGAGTCGGTGGGCTTCAATCCTTCCTCACCCGCCGTCTTCAACTCCCCAGGTGAGAGAGCACTGTGGTGCCAGGAGAGGGTGACAGCCCAGGTCAGGTGGTATCCTTGTGCCTCCTGAACTGGAGCCGAGACTTGGCATCCTGAGCCCGCTCTCTCCTTCTCTCTTTTCCCTCCTGGCCGGCACCTGCAGGGAGCTACCGGGAACCCAGTAAGTGTGACTGTTTCCTAGTAATATTTCCAAGGCCGGGAGGGGAACGTGACAGTGGCCTCCTCAAATGGCCTAACTTAGAGAGAAGAACTCGAGTGCCCCCCCCCCACACACACACACACAGACAGTCTCTGGCTTGGCAGCTGGCAGGAGGGTGTCGCGTTAGGTGGGGAATGAAGGTGATGGGGGGGACAGAGCGTTGGAAAGGGATCTGGTCACCCAGATCTCCTCATACTGCTGAGACTCTAAGCCCCCAGCTGCGAGGGGACCCTGGGGGAACTGGTCCCCACACGTACCTCCACTAGTCTTCTGCTGAGCTGGTGTCCTCAACTGCCAGTGAGGAAGAGAGGGAATACAAGACCCCAGTCCCCAGGGGCTGGGGTGAACCCAGGGAAAGCCAGGTGAAAGCAGGCACCCCCGTCCCCGTGGCCTGCGCCCCTCTCACTGCCCGGCTCTCCTTCTGAGCAGCTCCCTTCTGCCTGCAGAGCACCCCTTGGGAGGCCGAGAAGCCTGCGGCATGGACACGCTGCCCCTCAATGGCAACTTCAACAACAGTTACTCCTTGCGAAGCGGGGACTTCCCTCCAGGGGATGGGGCCCCCGAGCCACCTCGAGGCCGGAACCTGGCCGACGCTGCCGCCTTCGAGAAGATGATCATCTCGGAGCTGGTGCACAACAACCTTCGGGGTGGCAGCAGCGGAGCCAGGGGCCCTCCACCGCCTGAGCCCCCCGTGCCGCCAGTGCCAGGGGGCAGCGGCGAGGAAGAGGCAGGCGGGCCCGGGGGTGCTGACCGGGCAGAGATCGAACTTCTCTACAAGGCCCTGGAGGAGCCACTGCTGCTGCCCCGGGCCCAGTCGGTGCTGTACCAGAGCGATCTGGACGAGTCGGAGAGCTGCACAGCGGAGGACGGGGCCACCAGCCGGCCCCTCTCCTCCCCTCCGGGCCGGGACTCCCTCTACGCCAGCGGGGCCAACCTGCGGGACTCGCCCTCCTACCCGGACAGCAGCCCCGAGGGGCCCAGTGAGGCTCTGCCCCCACCCCCACCTGCACCCCCTGGCCCCCCCGAAATCTACTACACCTCGCGCCCGCCGGCCCTGGTGGCCCGGAACCCCCTGCAGGGCTACTACCAGGTGCGGCGGCCCAGCCACGAGGGCTACCTGGCGGCCCCAGGCCTCGAGGGGCCAGGGCCCGATGGGGATGGGCAGATGCAACTGGTTACCAGTCTCTGAGGGACCTCACGGACCAGGGGCTGGTGTCCCAGGCCGGGGACTGAACCCTGGGTAGGGCTCTGGTGGCAGAGGGAGGCTGATGGAGACTGGCTGCTGGGCCACTCTCTCCAGGTGCCCCTTTGCCATGGGCCCTCCAGGCCCCTTGGGGGCTCTGCTCTGGGGGCCCGAGGTGCAGGGTTCACAGACAGGGTTTCCCACCAGCCGTGTGCACCAGCTCAATTTGGGGCAAGTGCAGTGAGGAACCAGGAGGTCCCCAGGGGAGTGAGGAAGGAGAAATTGGAAGGGTGCAGCTCACTCTTGACTTCCCCCTCCCACCCCCTACTCATCCTACTCCCTGGAGGGAAGTGAGGGCTCTGGTTTCCCTGGGTCAAAGGCCCTGCTGGATGGAACCCGTCAGCTGCTCCTCTCTTTGCAGCCAGAGTGCTGCCAGTTGCACCGGGATGGAGCAGTGGGGACAGGACAGATGGACAGGTTCCTCTGCACTACAGTTCCCTGCTCCACGGAGACTGGGGCCTCTGACCGGGGAGAGAGCCCTAGCGGGGAGAAAGCCCCAGGGCAAGAGGAATGGGCGGTTGTGGCTGGTGGTTTAAAGGTGGAACTTTCTCCGAAGCTCCTTCTCTCTGCTCTTCGTCCCAGCCTTCCCAGCAAGCCTGCCCCCTCAGCCCTCCTTGAGTGCACCCAATGACCCCCTCCCTTGGGGCGACTCCTGATGAAGCACAACTCCCCGCAGGGCCCCCAGCCCACAGGGGTGGCCATACTTGAGCAGTTCCCAGTCCTGTGGGCTTGGCTATGGGGAGCAGATTTTGGGTCTGGATCTCCCTGGGGAGTGGGTCCTGGGCTTGGATCTTTCCCTAGGGGGCCCTCTTACCCCTTCCCTCCCTCCTCTTCCTCCGTCCCCATTGCTGTAAATATTTCAATGAAATGGAAAAGGAAAAAAAAAAAAAAAAAGACAAAAAAAGAAAGAAAGAAAATCTCATCACTTGAAGCCACCAGGAGCCTGCGGCCCGGCCAGCCCGGGATTTCTCCGGAGCAGAGCTGCGCCGCCGGGCCCTGGCAGCCAGGACTTCTCTGTGTACGTGTGCATCCCCAGCCGGGTGGGCGGGCCGCCAGAGCAGCTTTTTACAATCCAGAGACAGAAAACAAAATCTAGAAGCAACATCGAAACAAAGAACCCGTTTCCTTTCCGGCACCCGGCACCCGTTTCTGTTGCCTCCTTCCCTCATCCACCTCTCCCTGGCATCAGTCAGCCCTCCTGGGGCGTGTACCTCACTGCCTGCCCCAGGACTTGGGGCCTGTCTCCCCTTCCCCTCCCCACTGGCCCGGGGGAGGCACCCTCACACCCAAAGATGCTTTTGCCAAGGTGGCTGCGCTGTCCCTTGGAGTTCCTGCTTCTTGTACATTGCTTCTGGGACTCGGCCTGGGAGGAAGGGGCCGATTTCCCGCCTAGAGAGGTTGAGAGGGGAAGGAAAATGAGGGCAGCAGGGTTTGACAGATGACTGAGGAGGGAGGGCTGGGGGCGGTGAGGTGGTTCTCCTTCACGGGGTGGGGAGGTGAGAGGTGAGAGACTGCCTTCCTTACCCAACACGCCCCCGCAGGGGAGACAAAGCCAGGTACCAGGGCCTGGCTGGGGTCAGGACACCCATGTTCAGAGGGTTCAACCCCAAACCTGCAGATGCTGGAAGCTCCAGGCTTGGGATGTCTCCTGAGTACCTCTCCCAGTCCCCTCTCCAGTCTGTCACCCTGGCCTTCCCAGCAACACCCCCCCCCAACTCTTTGGGGGTAGCATAGTCCCACTGCCATACTAGCCCAGCCCTGTCATTTGCCATTTCCCCAGGGGTGGCCCTCCACCTCTGCTCTGACCCCTCATCTCTTTTGTCCCTCCCTCTTTTCTCACAAGTGCCATGAGTTTTCAAACATCTTCGGGTCTCAGCCTGCTGCTGCCATGAACTTTGGGTTAATGGGGAGGAACTCCGGGGAGGAACTGGGGGAAAGGGACAGATAGGTGGCTGGAGGGACCCTTTTTGCTGCTAAAAAGCCCCTCCCTTCTCCTGAGGAGCTAGGGCTGGCTTGTCCCCATCAGTTATAGGGGAGAAGGGGCCAGACCCAAAGATGGTGGTTTGTCCCACATGGGGGGACAGGCGTGGGGAGAAGGTAAAGGTGGGTTCCATCTGTTTTCTGGTAGGGAGTTTTAACCCGTTTCACCAGACCATGGGTGAGTCTGGACGGGCAGGTGAAGTAAGGATAGGAACGGTCTTGCGCAGATGGCTCTGTGAGGAGGGCAGGAGACAGCTCCGTGGCTTTCCTTGGCTTCACTAGGCCAGGAACTCCTCTTTGGGGAGGGGTGGCTAGAGACCTGTGAAGAGATGGTGGGAGACAAGGGTAGATGGAAGAGTGGGCCCAGCCCAGGCATCAGCCCAGCTAGAGTCAGAGAATGCCTCTGACCAGCAAAGAGGTCTGGAAGAGAGGGTGGGCTGGGGGAGTTCCCAGGGGAACTCCTGCGTCCTCTCCCCTGCCCAGTCCTCCTTTTCTCTCTCCAGACTCTGACAGTCAAAGGGAGAGAGAGGGTACAGCGGGTCCCTTGGTTCCCATTCCAGCCAGAATCACCAAGGTGGATTCCCAGGCCTCAGAGTTGTGTGGCAGGGCTGGTAGGGCTGGAAACCACTGCAGTCCAGCACAAAGCTACCCCGAGAGCCCAGGTGTCCCCCCACCCCAACCAGACCTGGTGCCTTGATGCCCCCACTCCAGCTGGGACGGTATAAAGAAGGAAGGGTCTTGGTTTCCTCTCCTACTCCCTTTCTTGGGCTCCTGAATTCATTTGCTTTCAAATCTTATTTTTCTCTGGGTTTGGTGGGGGTTTTTTGGCTTTGGTTTTGGTTTTCCTTGCCTTTTTCTCTGTGTCTCCACCTCTTTCCCTGTGTCTTTCTCACTGTCTCTGTGTTCCCCTTCTCTTACCCTCAATTTCTCTCTGTCCATTTGGGCCTCCTCCCTCTTCTCCCACGCCCCCAGTCCCTCCTTGGTCTCCTTTTCGATATGCCAAACCAATTTTGGGTCGAGTGCATTTAACGAGAACAAAACAAAAGGCTCATAACAACAAGAACGTTTCAGAAAAAAAAGTTTAAAAAAATTGTTGAGTCAAAAAAAAAAATCAAACAATAAAGAAATTAAGATTTCTTGGAATGACAAGAGTAGCGTGACTCATTTGCGGGGGGAGGCAAGAAACAGGTGAGTGGATCTGCACGGAGCATCCCCGTGAGGCTGGGACCGAGTGAGGAACCTGCACTGCCACATTTAGAACCCACAGCAGAGGACTGGTGAGTCACAGAATCATTAATGTTTATAGAACCTGGTAGGTTCAAGGGCCTGCTAGGCAATGCAGGTGCAGTTTCTCTCTGAATCCTCATAAATGCTCTGGGCGGAGGTTATTCGAGCTCCATTTTACAGATGGACAAACTGAGGCTTATAGCACCTGGATGCACGTCCAAGTCTCTGTGGGCCAGGCCGCTGTGCCATGTTGCGCCTCAAGCCCTTCTCAGCCTGGACTTCGGTCCACAGGCTATATTAGAGCATAGCATAGGAACTGTATGCTGTGCCTGTCTGATTCCAGCTGCTATTTCTAGACTCCCACACGTTACTGGAATGGTGCATTTTCGGTCATGACAGCACAGTGGAATTGCATCATGTGTATTTCACATTCTCACAGTGCTCAGAGAGAGAGGAATGACCAAGTAGTGCAAGCACTTCTCTCCATGCCCCTCTGCCCTCAACACTGGCGTCCAGGATGCCGCACTCAGCCACTCCTCCTCCCCACTCCCCAGCTACTCCTTCCCAGTCTCCACACTGGTTCCTTCTCATCTCCTGACCTCTTAATGTTGGCGAGCCCAAGGGCTCAGCCTTGGACCTTTACCTACACTCACTCCCTGGGAGATCTCATCTCATTAAATGGTTTTTAAATACAGCTGACCCTTGAGCAACACAGGTTTGAACCACACAGGTCCACTTAGATGAGGATTCTTTTCATTAAGTATATTGGAAAAATTCTTGGAGATTTGCGACAATTGGAAAAAACTCGCAAATGAACCATGTAACCTCAAAACCTTCAAAAAAATTAAGAGGCATGTCATGAATGCACAGAATATATGTAGATACTAGTCTATTTTATCATTTACTACCATAAAATACACACATATCTATTATAAAAAGTTAAAATGTATCAAAACTTACGCACACACTGACAAACCGTACACAGCCCCATCGACTGCACTAGGCTACCATAAAGCAATCATATTGCTGCTTCTTCATTTTCAGTGCATGAATCATCATACCTGTAAATAAAAATGAATTTCTTTTTCACATTTTCTTTTCATTTTTGATGTCTAGTGTTAGTAATATGTGTAATATCTACAGTGTTTTTTATAAGACAATATTGATGTAGGTACTGACAGACGATTCATCTTGTAAATAAATGATGTACGCTTTCGGTATTGATAAATACAGTACCGTATTGTAAATGTATTTTCCTTACGATTTTCTTAATAAGTTTCTTTTCTATTGCTTACTTTCATGTAAGAAGACAGCATATAATACATATACAAAATATGTGTTAATTGACTGTTTATGTTATGGTTAAGGCTTCCAGTCAACAGTAGGCTATTAGTAGTTAAGTTTTGGGGGAGTCAAAAGTTATACATGGGGCTTCCCTGGTGGCGCAGTGGTTGAGAGTCCGCCTGCCGATGCAGGGGACATGGGTTCGTGCTCCAGTCCGGGAGGATCCCACATGTCGCGGAGCGGCTGGGCCCGTGAGCCATGGCCGCTGAGCCTGCGCGTCCGGAGCCTGTCTTCTGCAACGGGAGAGGCCACAACAGTGAGAGGCCCGCGTACCGCCAAAAAAAAATTATACATGGAGGTACTTCGCTGGTGGTCCAAGTGGTTAAGAATCCATGCTTTCACTGCAGGGGGCACAGGGTCTGGGAACTAAGATCCCCGCATGCCACAGTGTAGCCAAAAAAAAAAAGTTATACATAGATTTTTGATTGCACAGGGGTCAGCACCCCTAACCCCTGCATTTTTCAAGTGTCAGCTGTACTATCTATTATGCTGATGACTTCCAAACGTAGAGCTCCAGCCTGAACTTCCATCTTGAGATCCAGATTCATTTATTCATTTATTTATTTATTTATTTATTTATTCATTCATTCATTTATTCATTTATTTATCCAGATTCAATAATTCATTTATTCATTCATCCAGCTACCCACTCCACATCTCCCCCTGGGTGTCTGGTAGGATCTCAAAGTTAAACCCAGTTCCACGCACATGTATACACACACCACTGTTCCAGTTCCTCCCACAGGCTTCCCCACCTTGATTAACGGCAAGTCCATCCTGAGACTCAAGATAAGACCCCTGGAGCCTCCCTTGAACTCACTCATTGTTTCATACCCCATATCTAATCTGACAGTAGACGCAGCAGTGCCTCTAACTTTGAAATACCCAGAATTAACTAGTTCTCACTACTTTGGTTCAAGCCACCACTGTCTTTCACCAGGACCACTGTAACAGTCCCCTAACTAGCTCCCTTGTCCCTCTTCAGGGGACACACAAAACAGAATGATCTCAGTAAGCATATTTTTTGTCCCTCCTCTGCTCAAAACTCTCCAAAGGCCTCCTCTCTCACCCAGACGAAACGCTAAGGTCAGCACAATGGCCCACAAGGCCCTACAGCATCAGATCTCATCCCTACGGCTCTCCTCCTTCCCTCTACTCCAGCCACACTGGGGTGCTCACTGTCCACAAACATGCAGGCAACTCCTGCCTGCCTCAGGGCCTTTACACTGGTTGTTCCTAGGGTTCACCTATTCTCCCTTTAGGGCTTATGAAAATAAGAGCTTCCCAGCAGGCCTTCCCAGGCTACTCCATT